AAAAAAAAAAAAAAAAAAAAAAAACAAAAAAAAGAAAAAAAAAGAAAAAAAATTAAAATGTATTAATCGAGTTAAAGAAAAAAGCAAAAACACGCACATATGAGATTTTTAAGATGATGGTAATTAGAGCCCTAGGTATGTTATTTAGCCAGATGGTGAAACACCCATTTCTCTTTTAATTATAATATATAATATTTTCCTTCATATTAAAAATAATTTCTATTTTGTTAAGCCCAATTTTTTGTGTTATTTAGCCATTATTTTTTTGTTTGTTTGTTGTTGTTGTCGCTTTCGTTTTGTATTAAGCCAAAAAGTTCCAATTTATCGTTAGGAAAAATGCATTTTGTTTGTTAGTTATAATTTGTAGATATTCTTAAACAAAATATTTGTCGTTGTTGTTAGGGAATTAAAATTAGTTGTTTTGAGAGTAAAGATAATCTGGAACTTAGCGATACAAATTAAAGGCAAACAAAGAATTGTGGCCATGGTGTTTGTTTTTTTTTCTTTTTTTTTTTTTTTTTTTTGCGTTATACCTGCATCTAAAATGATGTCGCTAACGTCGTCGTCATGTTTCTTATCATCATCATCATCATCATTGTCGTCGTACGAGTCATGATTATCCGCATCCAGCATGCCGGAAAAGAGGGATGATTCTCCAGGACTTTCACCCTGCCATCGGATATTACCTAACGTTCCTTTACTGGCTGATTTGCATCCGAACCACCAATAAGCTGTCGCCCTTGGAAAAGCTGGCTCGGCACTGTCCACCTGTTATACAAATTATACAAATCATTTATATTTTATTTATTTATTTATTTATTTATACTCCGTCCCTTTTGGGTTTGGTGGGCTTCCGATACACTTTTTCTTTTTACAAAAATTCAGAAATTCAAAAATTCAAACAAACAACTATTATATATATATATATATATATACTATTTTAATAAATTTAAATTTTAAAACAAAACTGAAACTAAAACTAAATTTTCAAATCATTTATATATTATTTGTTTTATTCAAATATAAGAAGAGAAAAGGGGGAAGGGAAGAATATAAAAAAAAAAGAAAAGAAATAAAATGAAAAACGTACTGAAAAAGTTCGATCGTTGAATCTGTAATATCCCTTATCCTTGAAGAAATACGTGTATCCTTGATAAATCACAGCACCATCCAAATTATCCGGAAGACCTTCCCAATTTTTAATAGGTTTTGGATAAGTACTCTTAACTGGTGGCTTTTGTACTTGATCGAATCGCCAGAATTTCGTTCCTTTGTAAAAATAAATCTTTCCATTTCCAGTCCATACTGTAACTGCATCGATATTGTCAGGTATTCCCGTGAATCCTTCGCTTATTTCTTTCGGATATTGTCCGTCCATGTGTTTTCCTATATACCTCCAATATTTTGATCCCTAGATAAATAATAATTATTCTTGTATTTTCTTTTTCATAAAATTTTGTTTTATTATTATTATTATTATTAGAGGTATTTCTTACCTTGAAGAAATAAGTTTTACCATTCTTGAATGTAAATGCGGCATCTATATTACCCGGAAGACCCTTCCAAGAATTACTAATTCGTTTAGGATAGCCACTTGCTATACCATCGTCTGTTAATCTCCAATAATGTTCTCCTATAAATTGAATTAGTATTATCAATTGATCTGTAAGAAATAATTACATATGTTATAGTCATGTATTATTATTATTCTATTAGGTAAACCTTTGAAAACGTAAATGTGTCCTTCTGCCGAATTAAATATCGTATCGATTTTAGGATCCATACAAAGTTCTGGATCTTCTTCACCGGTTGGTGGTATCGATGTTGGATGAATATTTGTTGGCCCGTGTCTCCAACCAGATTTTTTTCCATACAGAGCCTAATATCAAATTAAATAATGACGAATGTTAATATAATTATACGCTTAAAATATGATCTAACGAAATCTTACATTTGAATTAACGAAATAATCAGAGAAAAATATTGAAAATTAAATAAAAATAAAAAGACGAATATTTTTAATTAACTTTTTTATTTAGTATTTCTCTCGTCCAAAATTACAATTTTTAATGATAAAATTTTACAGGGAACTTGGACATGAAAAGAAGTAGAACTTAGTTTGATTGAGTTGGACGTTTCGTCCGTTTATTGGGACTTCTTCAGCAACTGTAAATTTTATTTTATTATAAATTCTTGATACGATACATGAGGTTCATACAATATAATTTTTCTTCATATTACCTTAATCTTTAAAGTTCAGCGTCTTTTTTCTTTAATTTGACATACATTTTTCTTTTTATTAAGATTCCAAACACAACACATTTAAACTTCGTTAATTAGATCGTTATTATTTAAAGTCCTCAACAAAACTGTTTCAATCTAGACTAGTGTTTGTTAGCCTAGATATCATCAGTGTAAGGTGTCCTCTATTATTTATTATGGTTAAAATTTAAAAATTCCGTTATAGATGTGATTTAGATTGTTTGTGTCTGTTCAAATTAAAGAAAAAAGACGCTGAACTTTAAAGATTAAGGTAATATAAAGAAAAATTATATTGTATGAACCTCATGTATCGTATCAAGAATTTATAATAAAATAAAATTTACAGTTGCTGAAGAAGTCCCAATAAACGGACGAAACGTCCAACTCAATCAAACTAAGTTCTACTTCTTTTCATGTCCAAGTTCCCTGTAAAATTTTATCATTAAAAATTTTTAATTAACGTTATCAGGAATGATGAATAAAATATATAATAATTTCATGTGTATATTTAAAAATTAGATTTTAACATAATCACACAAAATGAATGATTATATTTAATGAATTGTAATAATTACGTAAAATAAACAAAAAATTTTGAAATGGGTTTTAATTTGAGATAACATTTTATTAAACTCACTTGAATGCCCTCGATGTCATCTGAATGCAAATTGAAATTGGGTTCGTATCCACGATAAAATGGTGCCATGAGGGCAGCTTTAACATCACTGTGACTTAATCCAAGTGAATGTCCGAATTCATGAGCTGCCACTTGGAAAAGATTTGTACCACGATAACTGTTTATCGTCCACTGTTCGGCGTCATCGAAATGGGCATCACCACCATAAACTGGGAAATAAGCATGAGCCAAAGTACCACCACGACCATCGAAAGGATCACCGTCTCCGTGTTCACCAATTTCGAATCTGATGTCGATGTGAACCTGAATATAAAATATTTTCATTAATAAGGACCCCCGGGTTTTTGTTTTTCTTTTTTTTTCGTTTATTTTTCAAACAAGGATAATTCATGGGGGGGAAGGTAGTAATGGGGTTGATATTTACCGAGCCTGTAGGTTTAACTGTGAACGTTAAATCGGTGTATTGAGACCAAATACCAAAAGCTTTGGCAACTTCTTTGTCCACTTCGGATCTAACCAAACCAGCAGGATACTTGCTTATCCTGTACGACAATTTTTTAACTCGCCATCTTGATCCTACATTACAAAAAAATAATATATATATATATATATTTTTTATCGTTCAATTACGATTCGAGTTTGATTTATTTACATTTGATTAAATACCAACCAAAAATTTGATTATTATTATTAATATTATTATTTAGAAAATATTTAAAAAGAAAAGAAGAAAATTAATTGGGGGGTAGGGAGAGGGGGAAAACAAACAAATCAAATTGATACGAGAATAATATTATGATAGATTTTGAGTTTGTTCGATTAATGAAAGTTTCATTATTTTTAGAATGATTTGTTAAAATTTGAAGGGGTTTTTTTTCTTTTTTTAAAGTATACATTTGACCCTGAATCTAACCACTAATGACAATTTCGCGTGTCATCGATGCATCACTACCGACTGACTTCAAATTTATGCAATCGATGGGTTATTCGTATGCACGCGTTGCTATAATTACAATCGTGTTGCGTTTACGTAAGAATTTATTTACGATAATATAGCGGAAAACCTATGAGATAACAGATAATCGTTATGATCTTTTCTATCTTATTTTACTTTTTTTTCTTTTTTTTCTTTTTTTTTTTTCTTCTAAGATCGATCATTTTTTTCAAAAAA